GACACCCTTTGCGTTTCATACCCGCGCTACTTTGCTTTGTTCCATGGAGAGAAAATGGAAAACTTTTCTTAGGGAACCATACTTATACTACTTGAGAAAAACCTCAAAATGAGTTAAGCGAAAATCAATGTTTTTACTTAAGAGGACTGAGAAATAGTTTTAGACAAAAATCCACGCAAAAAAACCCAAAGTTTTTCAATTGCATTATATTATAATTTTATTTTATAATATAGATCAAAGGATGATTTCAATTTATTTTGAAATAATTTAACATTCAAAAAGGGGAATTAAAAATAAATGAAAAAATTTTCATATATAATTTATAAATAAAAATTTTTATTATTTAATACAATTTAATGAATTTATAAATTTTTATACTATTGTAATTTATCAAGAAGATTATATTGAACAAGAAACTATATACATATATATATATATGGGGTGCTTGATGTAATTTCGTCGAGTGTGAACACTTTGGTCTGCCTCGGTGAAACTAGCGATCATTTGTACAGAGATTCTGGGGGTAAGGCCTTGATTTATCTACGAGTCGTTATTTTTCTCTTCACCTTTGCGCCGTTGAAAATATCGCTCATGAGAAATCTTCCACTTCCCTTTAAGACCCACTTCAATGATATTAGGCAGATAATGCGATTATATTTTCCCCGAAATGTGAGAATTTTCCTTCACATGACACTATTTTATGTTATATAAGAAAATATCGTTAAAAATAAATTAATTACTTTATATATATATATATACTGCGTGAAATTAGAAGTGAAATATTATATTTCAAAATCAAAATTAAACCAACAGAAAAAAAATTTAGTCAACTATTGAAGATTTTCAATGATTTTTATTTATTATTAATTTTTTATTAAATTATTAATAATTTTTGTATTATTTATTTTTTTTATTTCTTATTAGTAATTTTTTATTTATAAGTTAATAGTAGAATTTATATACGTAAAAAAATTGTCGCCGTCAATGAAGTGTCATTTTTTTCTTTTCTTAACTTTTTAATAGTCTCCTTATAGCCCTTTTTTACCATATCTACTCTCTTTGTTTTCATCTCTATTCGTCTTTTTTTTATATCTCTTTTTTAAATTCCCCCCTTCTTTAGAATTCTTAATTCCTCTTTCTCTGGTACTTCTTCTTATATCAAAACTTTTTTTTTTAAAAATGTCTTTACATTCTTTTTTTTCCTTTCTTCTTCTTTATTTTCTTTTTATTTCTTTAATTTCTTTTAACTAGAAATTATTTGGAAACTAATAAAATCAATTTTAAAGAAAAAAAAAAAAATTTCAAATATATTATTAAGAAGTAAGTAATCGTAGCAACGTGGTAAGTTACAGGCTTTGCGTCTCCATAGTCCAGGGTTCGATCCCCCATGGCTGGAAAAATTTTATAACTGTTAATTACTCCTAGGTATTAAAATCAAAAAACGATTATTTAAAAAAAACGACCTTTATTTTCTGTTTATGATAATAAAATTACCTTTTAAGTTGATGTTAAACAAAAGTCGTTTAGACAAGAATATCGTCATTCTGCTGGACATTAAAATCCATCGAAATGTTTCGCATCGCATCACTATCTTTATATGGAGTATTTTATAGCCAATTCTTTTTTTTTTCCCTCTTACGTGCCATGAGATCAAGATCAATGAAATGGGAACCATTTGCTGGCACTTCACGAATGCGTCTAAAGCGGGGCTTTCTGAAATATTTATTAGAATTAGAAATCCGATGAGTCGCGTTCACATGCGGTTGGTGTATATTACTATTAAAGGTACAGCACCCGGAAGCATTTGTACTCTCGACCTATGATTACGAACTACGTGAGAGGCTTTCAACCCAAGTTATTAGTCTCATTATCTTGCACTTTACTAGCACGTGCGAAGGATCCCACAGGTAGTATGAGTTGTCAGTTGCTGAATTTCCTGTTGCCTTTTCCATAAGTGTTTAAAAAATGTCCTCTCACAGGCAGTTACAGTAAACCAGACTTCCTGACACTCCGCACACATATTTCTACAGCCCTCTTTTATTTTCAATCCCTCTTTTATTATTTTATTTGTATTCCTTACGTGAGGAAAACATCAATTCTCAAAGTTGTAGACATTACATCAATATTATTGTAATTTTCATTTTTTTTTTTTTTGCATAAAAAAATCAAAGGGAAAAAATTAAATTACATATAATAATCGTGAATATCTTTCGTTCATTCTGTCCACACCTGAAGTTAGTATTTGTTATAGGTCTTTTGTTTTTTTTAAATGTATTGTTTGACATTAATTTGTGTTGGTTAAAATTTTTCAATGTTTTTTTGGCATTGTTTCGATAATTAATTTTGAATCGAAATTTTAAAAAATAATTGAATTTTATTTTATTTTAAATTGAAAACTTGGTAAATAATTGAATTTTAAATTGAAAATTTGAAAATAATTTAATTTTAGTTGATTGTTGATTGAAAATTTGAAAATAATTAATTTTAGTTGATTGCTGATTGAAAATTTTGATAATAATTAATTTTGACTCGAAATTTTGGAAAATAATAAAATTTTAATTGAAATTTTGGATAATAATTTAATTTAAGTTGATTTTGGATTAAAATTTCGGGTAATAATTGAATTTTAATTGAAATTTTCGATAATAATTTAATTTAAGTTCATTTTTAATTGAAAATTTCGATAATTAATTTTGAATAAAAATTTTAAAAAATAATTGAATTTTATTTCATTTTAAATTGATAACTTGGTAAATAATTGAATTTTAAATTGAAAATATTGAAAATAATTTAATCTTAGTTGATTGAAAATTTTGATAATAATTAATTTTAGTTGATTGTTGATTAAAAATTTTGATAATAATTAATTTTGACTCGAAATTTTGGAAAATAATTGAATTTTAATTGAAATTTTGGATAATAATTTAATTTAAGTTGATGTTGAATTAAAATTTCGGGTAATATTTGAATTTTATTTAATTTTAAATTGAAAACTTGGTAAATAATTGAATTTTAAATTGAAAATTTGGAAAATAATTTAATTTTAGTTGATTGTTGATTGAAAATTTGAAAATAATTAATTTTAGTTGATTGCTGATTGAAAATTTTGATAATAATTAATTTTGACTCGAAATTTTGGAAAATAATAAAATTTTAATTGAAATTTTGGATAATAATTTAATTTAAGTTGATTTTGGATTAAAATTTCGGGTAATAATTGAATTTTAATTGAAATTTTCGATAATAATTTAATTTAAGTTCATTTTTAATTGAAAATTTCGATAATTAATTTTGAATAAAAATTTTAAAAAATAATTGAATTTTATTTCATTTTAAATTGAAAACTTTGTAAATAATTGAATTTTAAATTGAAAATATTGAAAATAATTTAATCTTAGTTGATTGAAAATTTTGATAATAATTAATTTTAGTTGATTGTTGATTGAAAATTTTGATAATAATTAATTTTGACTCGAAATTTTGGAAAATAATAAAATTTTAATTGAAATTTTGGATAATAATTTAATTTAAGTTGATTTTGGATAATAATTCAATTTTATGTATATAATTTAATAACATATAATAATAATTTTCATTATTATCATTTAATATGAAATAATATTCTAATAAATTTAAATTATTATTGATAATATTAATCTTTAATTTCTTTATAACAAACAATTAAATATTCAATTTGGCGCGCTTGCGCGCGTTTAATATTGCTAGTTAAAATATTATTTTTTTATAATACAAATTAAAAAATTTCGAATCCTTATTTTGAAAGAAATAAAAGAAAATATTGGCAAACTCGAAATTGTGCGGTCAAGCTCTTTTTTTCAACGATAGTTTCGCCACATTAAATTTATTTCACTGCCTGCGAAAATCTCACTCTTTCTACTACTGCTATAGTGACATGTCTAACCCAGACACTCTGCTAAATTAAAACCTCGGATAAATTTATGGTCCTGAGCTTAAAATACTTTTTTTTTTCGAAAAGTATAATTTATTGGTTTTAATTATGTATTCTACAGACATTTTACAAAAGCTAAGTATATTCTATTATTATAATTGTAATTGCGATATATGTATATATATAATAAAAAATAGAGGTTCATATTTTTCAAAATTTAGATCTATTTTTCACTTTATCTATAATAGTCCCTATATCAACTCGGAACCACATTTTTAAATTAATTAATTTTTGAAATATTCTTATTAATAGTTTTCTACCATTTTTAAAAATATTTTTAAATATGAAAAGATTTTAATTTTTGTTAATTGAATCGCCGGTAATCAAAAGGGCCTACACGCGAGGTTTTCATTGGCCCCTGGAATATTGTAGGAAACTCGCTGAATGAGGGGGCCAATGAGTCACGCATTAACCCTTTTGGTCGCTAGCGGTTCAATTGTTTAAATTAACATTATTTTTCTTTAAATGTTCTGACACCTATTGTCATTGGGAATTTGGTTCAAAGAAATTAGGATATCCATAGGATATCCTGAATTTTCGAATATTTATTTTATATTTTAATTTCCAATTTTTATCTGCAGTATTTCTGTTCTTTATTTTAAATTTTTGAGCAATTATTTTATTAAAAAATTAAATTTGTTACTATAATTGGTATAAAGGGTTAAAAGTTTTTTTTGGGTGAAAAAAAAACAGATCAGAATTAATAGAGTTGTTTCGAAATGAAATAGAAATTCAGTTTAAAATTTTGTTAACTTGCGGTACTTTGGTAACTCAACCCATTGAAATCGGTGAGACACTAAATCAAATCGATGGAAGATCTAAATGAGTTAGTACAGTAATTGCCATGACCGAAGTGGAAACTTTCTGATTAATCTAACAGCTGATGTTTAAAGCTTCTATGTATGTGTGTGTGTGTGTGTGGGAGGGATTGAGGTAGGGCATGGTGAAGGGAGAGAGAAAGCTATATAGGCAAAAGATATTGTATAGTCATCTCACTTCCTCCCTCAGGAGCAGCTGAAGGGTGCGAATGCTGGCACGTGGAAGCTGAAACGCATGCGTGTCATGTTACTCCTGCAGGATTCTCAGTCGCGTCAAGCCAGTCAGAATCTGGTCTTCGGCACGCGTAGATTTTTTTTTTTTCGTGTGTGTTAACGCGCGAGTGTGTCAGTGTTAAGGAATAAGGTGTGCATTATAAAAAGCGACAAAAAAAAAAAAAAAATTAAGTGCGTGCGCGACAAAGGGAGAAACTATGACAACTTCATTTCTTCTTCTATTTATCGGAATCTTCTTCTCTCATATTTTCGTCATAGGAGGTAAGTTTTTTCTAAATAATAATATAAAAAAATTTATTTAATAATAATATATATATATTGTAAATATATGTAATAAATTTGTAACAAAAAAATAAAAAAAACATTTTAATTCACCCATTTAAAAGTATCAAATTGAAATAAAAAAAAAATTTGGATTTAATACTTTTAAATTAGTGTTTTAATATAATTTAGAAGAGTATTATTTAATTTGACTTAATTTTTAAACAAAGACCTGAGAAATATTTCATTGATATTCATTAACATTGTACAGAGGATATACTTTGAATATTATATTTTATTCATCAATTAAACTTAATTAAATATATTATTCAATTAATTTCACATATAAATTGAGGAATTATTGAATTTCTTTTTTAATTTATTCTCTCTTGATTGACCATCTATTTTTTTCCTGTGGAGAATATACCGTACCGATATATATATATATATATATATATATATAAATTTGTAAAAATTATTCATTGAATAATTATGTCCAATAAAAATTCTTGGATTTTATTTTCTGAGCATTTGGATTTATTTGAATTAACTTTATTATATTAAAAATGAATAATTTAATATATTCATTCTTGATTAATGTTCCACTTTTCTGATATAAAAATAAAATTTTATTCTAACATCGAACCAACAAATTTTGTAAATTAATATATTTTTTTATATCTTGTAATCCATATTTTCAAAAATGTTTCTTTAATCAGAATATTTACTAAAACTTTATTTAATATTTTTTTTTTAATAAAGTTTTTATAAGTAAACGAATAATAAAAATAATAATTAAAAATTTCATAACGCCAAATAATAATAATAATTTGATAATTAAGAAAATATTGGAAAAACATCATGGGGAAAATAAATTGAAAGAGAATATAAATAATTTACACGTGTGAAATAATGGAATAAAATGTAAATATTGGAAAGAGGTGTTTGTGTATGTAATTTGCAATATATATATATATTTAATTGTCGACAAGAAACCCAGAACGTTTAGTCATGGACAAGTTAGCTAATTATTCGCGGACATGCGAGTTAAAAAGAAAGTATTTGTCGCTTGCGCACACGCGACGTTCCTCTGCATTGCCACTGGGGTGATTCCCATTCTGTGGTAAAGCTTGCAGTTATGCAAATAGCCATGCGTGATGAAACGACACGTTAAGCAGGTTCACTCATTTGAATTCGAGTGTGTACTTCAACACTGATCACGCAAAATAACACACGTGATGAGCTTTACACCGCGTGATGTGAAAATTATGCGCGCACATTCACATTTAAAAAAAAAAAAAAGAAAAATTCTCCTTTTCAATTAAAATACATGTGTGGAAAACAAATTTTATTTATCATCTTTTTTTTTTTTAATAAAAAAGAATTGAATTTCAATTTAATAATTAAAAAAATAATTCCCTATAGAGAGAATGTTTCATTTAAATATATATTTTAACATTTAAATAATAAAATATTTCATAATTTTCTTTTTTTAATAATTCATATATTAATAATAATATTCTTTTGCTACTTTTTATTTTATTTTATTTTTTTATGAATAAATAAAATTATTTTTGAAATATTAAAAAAAAAAATGTTAATAATAACGAAAAGATGCTTTTTTTCCGATGTTATACTATTTGCCATGACTTAACCGTGTTTGGCACTGATCCACAATTGAACTTTGGATGCAAAACGTGGATCAGAGCCAAATGTGGATCAAAACCCTATGTTCAAAAAAAGGTAAAAAAAAAAATCTCGTCTAAACTTGAGGAAATTGTTTTCGAAAATACGTTTTTTTTTTTGCAAACTGGATGCATAATTATTTGTAGTAAATATTTGAATGTAAAAAAAATATGCAATCTCCGAATCTGAGTTAGAATTTTTTTTTTCAATTCAATATTTTAACGAATTAGTTTATCAACTTTTTAGGAATTAATAGAACGATAAAACTATCAATTATTAAAATTAGTCAGAATTTACTCTTAATGAATAGTTTTCAGTAATTGAATTAATAACGTGGTCACGTGACGCGAAGGTGGCGCTCCTAGCGTTCACTATCTGTAATACAAAACGTCTTACAGCGTCAAATGGCTTCTATATCGGCAAATATTTTTTCAAATTTTGTAGAAAAATTCTTTTCAAAGAATTAAAATTATTTACTGCTGAGATGTAATACTTGAATTTTTTTTTAAACTTGTATTAGAATTGCAAAAAAAAAATATTAAATTGGCTACTATATATGGTAGTTATTTTTTTTTTTTTTTTGCAAAGGAAAATAGTCTCCAGTCGATATCTTACATGGAAGACGAAGCAACGCACCCTTTTGTATCCAATCTCGTTTCACGTCGTTCGAAATCCTGACGGATGACTTTACCCGCACGCTTCTTTTTCGCAACAGTCGACTTATGTAAGTCAGGCACTCCGAAGGCGTGTTGGCAAAGAACTCCTCAAAGGCAAATCTTCAAATATAAGTTGAATATCGTCTAGGAAATTTCAAGCAATGGTTGGGTATATATATATAAAAACGCAGAAAAAACATCTCCTCATAGTAGCTACTGCTTATGAAAACATACATTCATCGAAAATATACTTCTCTTCACTTTGCTCCATTTAAATAATTTTTCCCTTTTTTTTTTATTACTTTCAAAAATTACATTCCAGAAAATTTGAATAAACCAAGTAGAATAGAAAACTAGAACAAAAAAAAAAAAAAAAAAAATTGTTAACATAATTTAATTAACTGAATCAATTTACAAGAAAATTTTTCTTTTTGTTTCATATTTCGCGTGAATAAATCTTTAAGGTAGTATGAAGTAAGGAGAATAAGTCAAAGCGCGTTAACAGAATACAAATGGCGAATGATTTCCCAGTGAATCAATAAACTTTTGTCGCACGAACGATTCGAGGATCTGTGAGAACACTATTGCGTCAGAGAAAGGGAAACGTCAGAGAAATTCTTTTGAAAAAAAAGGATATATTTTTTTTTTTTTTTTTTGCAAAAAGAGAGTGATACCAACCCTTTTCTTTCTCTTTCTTCTTTTAACACGCGAAATCAACAGGCGATCAGGAAATTAACTTGGCAAACTTTTCCAATGGATACACACACCTCCGGCAGTTGCCATTCGGTAAAATTATGGAATGTATACACACCGTGAGGCTAAACAATAGGTATAAGTTAAATTGCTTTTGTAATTAATTTCTACCTAGTTACCTGCGTTCGACTTTTTTTTTTTTAAATATGTATTATATGAATGATTTTCAAGTTTGTGAACGAAGGAAAGTTTTTAATTAAAAGAAATGACCAATTCGTGAAATTTGATTTTAAAAGGGAACAATTGTTCGAAATAGGGGTTATTTTATTTCAATCCTTTCCTTACTCGCATTAATTTTATATAGTACCGATTTTATAAAAATATGAATTTTTTTTTTAATATTAAAAAATTCTGATATGGAAATTGCTTCATTTCACTTGTGATATTAAACAATTTTGTGAGAATATATTTGTTTTTGAATATTTGCGTGTTTCCTCGTCAATGGTAAGTGTAAAATGTCGCCTACATATGTGGTGTTTTGTGGAGGTCCAGATTGTTGTTATAACCACCAACTATAGTAGTTGCTTTTCTCCTCTGGTTTCTCTCTCTCTCTCTCTCTTTCTCTCTGTTCCAGAACGTTTCCATGCAAATGCATAACCATACTTGTAACGCTTCGTTACAGAATGCAAGGGTAAAATCTGTGCGGCAAAGGTTGATGGTCTGAATAGAATGCATTTCTCATATAGAGAGCGTCATATAAAGCAACTGAACACACAAAAGACATCAACTGTTGATTCACATTTTTAAAATTCAATTTCCACGTTTTATACTCTAATCATTTACCTAACAATAAAATAGCTTTTAAATTGTTATTTTACATTTCACTATGGCATTTGTATAACAATAATGCAAGCATACAAAAAAATATAAAATTGTAAATTTCTATTTATTTTTTCAGAAAATATTTTTATATTTTTGTAAACACTACTACACTGTTAATTTGAAAGTATTAAATCGCAACGAATTTATTCCAATATTTGGATCAATTTGATCCAATTCGGTATCAAATTAATACTTTCAAGAAAACAGTGTAAGGAAAAAAAGGTAATAGTAACGGTTGCCATAGTAACAATTGTCATAGAAACGGTTGCTATGGTAACATTTTTCATGGAAACGGTTGCTATGGTAACTATTACCATGGCAACCGTACGAGTGTACGACGGACGGACAGACGGACGCCAAAGCGAAATTATAAGGCTTTCGGGCCTGAGCCACGAAACTCTAAAAAAGGGTTAAAATTAGTCAATAAATAATTGAATTTCTATTTTTTTTTATATATTAGAGAGGAACGAAAAGAAATTTTGATTTTTCTTAATTTTCTCCCATGGCAAAAATTGAGATATTTTATTATTATTTTGTTTTTTAATTAATAATAATCCGTAAGAAAATTTGGGGGGAAAAAAAATTAATGAATGGAGTAAAAAATATATATTAGAAAAAGATAAGGTCGAAGCTTCTTTTATTAAAGAAGTCATCGTTTGGCAATTTTCTGCGCAGATCTAAATAAATAAATATGTAAAAGGGAGAGAGAGAGAGCGTCGAATAATTTTCCAATGCTCAATGGAGTGTGATGCACACCAACCCTTTTATTCGATGTTCCCTGCCAGTTTCTGTGTATATATATATATATATATATATATATGTATAGAATGTCTACGAAGTGAACGAGTTATTTGCAGCACGTTGCCGAGTTGGACTTTAACACGACCCCCGTAAGACGTCGTGTTTATTCGGTGCTTTTCCTCTTGCCGAACAATACCGTAAACGACATCCGCTTCCGGAAACAGAGAGAAGTCTTTCGCGTAAAATATCCCTTTCTAGAAAGTTCATTTTGTATTTCTCAACCCTTATATAATATATATATATATATATATATAACATATAACTGTCAGAGAAAATGGAATA